GTACCATAGGTTAGGGGTTGAACATATCTTTTGGGGTGGGCACAGTTTAATCCACCACAGAATTTCAAAATAATTTGTACATTGCTTGAGGTATCATTTAATTAGTTCAGTTCTTTCCTTGGGTTTGAAAGGGTACATTTTTGTTTGTCAGCTTTGGTTTCACTAATTATAGTTCACTAAAAGCTTCAAATCTGAAAATGCTCTTTTCTCTTTTTGATCTATTTGCTCAATAGTGGATTAATAATTTCTAACAGATTTTAAGCAAAATGCAACAATTTTAGATCTTTTAGGCTGATTTACAAAATATTTTTTTAAAAAATTCTTATTTCTAAAACTTGGTAAGGCAACAAAGAGAAAAGAATACTTTCTAGGTGAAAGTATTATTTCAAGCATATTTATGCATCATAATTTTCTTCATACTGAAAGTAGATGATGGCCTCCTATCACTAATACTAGATTGGGATTCCTCCTTTGAGAGTATTGGGCCTAAATCTGAGGTTCTTAACTGAGGCTCTGTAGAGCCGTGTTAATAATAAACTGTGGGATTTTCAGATCTACCTATAGAATATCTCAACAAATTCCTGATAACTCTTTAACAAGTCTATTTTATCAATTGTGAGTCTTGTATTTTGTGACATTAGAGCTCTGACCTTATGAATAGATTAATATTTTGTCCCTGTAATGAAAAGCTAACAGATAGGAAAACAAAAATGTGTGTGTGTGTGTGTGTGTGTGTGTGTGTGTGTTTTCAAATTCTAGAGCTACTGAACATTTTGGAATACTGAAACAAACCTCCAAAATTCCAAGAAATCTTCAAGAGCAAACTTGATCAAACAGAAGAAGAATCAGTAAACTCAAAGACATGTCATTCAAATTTACCCAATTCAAGATGTAAGAGTGAGGAAATAGTACTTAGGAGATACTGTCAAGTGAACTAATATGCAAATTATGGGAGTCTCAGAAGGAGCAGAGAAAGAAAAAGGGCAGAAAGTTTATTTAAAGAAATAATGATATAAAACTTCCTAAATTGTGTAGAGGAATTCAATAAGTTCAAAGAACCACAAATAGTACACAGATACATTATAATCAAAATTCTCAGTGAATTCTGAAAGCAGCAAAAGAAAAGTAACTCTTCACATAAAAAGGAATTCTCCATAAGGCTATCAGCTTGAGAAGAAAAAAGCAAGAAAGGAACAAAGAATAAAAGATATACAAATCAACCAGAAAATAATTAACAAAATGATAGTAGTGACTCTTTGCCTATCAGTAATAATCTTGAATGCAAGTGAATTAAATTGTCCAAACAAAAAAATGCAGTGATTAATGAATAAAAACCAAGGTTCAACTATATTCTGCCCACAATAGACATATTTTAGTTTTAAGTATAAACGTGGGTTGAAAGTGAAGTGAGGAAAAAAGATACTCTATACAAATGGTAACCAAAGGACATAAGGGATTATTATACTTTGACAAAATAAATCAAATGAGGCAAAGGAGATCATTACGTAATAACAGGAATCAATTCTCCAAGAGTATAGGATGCTTGTAAATGTGTAAAATAAATATCTACAGAACTAAAGAGAGGAATAGAGATCAATATAATAATGATAAGGAACTTCACTACCCCACTTTTAAAAACAGATAATCCAGATGGAAAATCAAAAGGGAACAGTGGTCTTGGACAACAGTATAGACCAAGTTAACCTAACAGATATACAGGACATTCCATCCAACAGCCATAAAAATACACATTCTTCTCAAACACATAGGATAGATCATGTTAGGTTATCAAAAAAAAAAAAAAAAAGATTTAGCAAATTGAAGATGATTGAAATCTTATCAAGTATTTTCTTACCACACTGATGTGAACTAGGTATCAATGAGAGTATGTAATAGAAAATATTACAGATATGTGAAAAAAGGAAAAGAAGCCTCAAAGTTGTAAACTAAAGAGATGATATTACAAGATTACCACTGATTCCACAGAAATATAAATGATCATAAGAAACTCCTATAAACAAGTATACATCAACAAATTGGATAACCTAGAAGAAATGAGTGAATTCTTAGAAATATACAACTTATGAGACTGAATCATGAAGAAATACAGGCTATGAGCAGGCCAATAATAAGAGACTGAACTCGGTAATAAAATGCCCTTTAATAAAGAAAACCCTGGGCACCTGATGGCTTCAGTGGTGAACACTATCAAGCTTTAATAATAATACCCTTTTAAATTTCTTCAAAAAATGGAAGAGGGAGCATGTCCAAACCCATTTTACAAGGTCAACATTACCTCTATAACAAAGCCAGACAATGTCATCACAAAAAAAGGGAACTACAAGTCAATGCTCCTGATGAACCTCCAGTACTGTCTAATGCACCAGCATCCCTTACTTGGAATACACTGGTCTCAGTGGGCATCTCCTTCTCTCCTTGTGATTTTATAAATCTACCCTCCATATTTTCACTAGATTTCATTTTCAAAAAGAAAATCAGTTCATGTCATTCTTCTCAAAATCTCTAAATGGCTGCCTGTCTCACAATAAAAGCCAATCTCCTTTTAAAGACTTGCAGGGCCTTGTATGACCTGATATCTAGCTACTTCTCTGACTTCCTATCTTTTCCTGGTTCATTTGTTCTCCTCACTATAGCAACTCTTGCTGTTCCTCCAACATGCCAGCACACTCCTGCCTATGCTATGTGCTTCCCTGGGCCTAATATTCTTTTCATACACTACTTATTAGTTTTATTTATTTCTGTTCCAATATCACCTTTTTTTTTAACAGTATCACCTTAACCATTGATACAAAATAATTTTGGCTCTCAAATGGGTCCTTTCCCTCTATTATGTCACACATGATATATTAAATATTTACTTAAATTTTTTTTCATGTCTTCTTTAACTGGAATATAGTTTCCATGTAAGTGATGCACTTTACCCTTTTAGCTTTTCAATAGTATGCATATTGAAAAGTCTCATTTTTTTATGCACTACATTCTGTGATCCAGAAAATGTGTTTTCAGTTCTTCTAGCGTATAGACTGATGTAGGCATTCTCTCATGGGGCCTCTGCTAATTCTGGGTAGCTTCATTCTGTTTCTTATTGTTTCTACAGAAGTAGGCTTGGTTGGGCTCTGAGGTGACTGAAGGAATCAATGCAAAGGACCAGTTACTAATGAAAATTCTCAGAATCTCAATTCTTAATTTACTCACAAACACCAGCTAGGCTATATCATTTCAGTTATACATAGTAATCTGATTTAACATCTTAATGCTTTATTGTAAAGGAATCCCTTCCACATTCTCAGACTTAACATAGGATGTAGTCGAATTTAATTTGTATATAGTTGTTTCGTCTCTTTGGAAGCTAGGAATCAGTTTATGCCATTGTCATTTCTGACATCCTCCGGGTCACATGTCTTCGTAGCATCTGGTCCATAATTACCCTGGACCATGTTTAGTGACGGACAGCTTCATAGTAGTCTATGAACAAATTATTGTGTTTAACAGAGAATCAATTAATAGCATCAACAGCAACATTTCTATTCACATGCTATAAACATAAGACAGAGACCAAGTGTTTTGTATTTTAAAATATAAATGTGTTCTTTACTGTGAGAGTGAATTATCTGTTAGCAGATATAAACCTGCTTCTGTAAGAATGTTTTATCCTAACTGAATATTGCTGACACAAATTAATTTATTAAAAGTGTTTACTTTTTTACTGTCTCTTAGAAAAGAATTGTGCTGTAATTATTTATCATATCTGCAACCCTTAATATTTGCTAATATAGAAGGTAATTTATATTTTAGTATTAAAAGGCCACTTAAATAAATTCATAAAATATGGGAAACAAAAATTCATAATGAAAAAAGTTTATTAATTTATCTTTAAAAATAAAACTCAAAATTAAGCATATTTATTTTAATTTGATTTAGTCTATAATTATAATAAGCATGACAAGACTGACAGCTTAAGTCAGGGTGTTGATCAGGGTGATAGAATAAAATTATTCCTTGGAGAAGTTAAAAGAGTTGTATAGCATGGTGCTCATGGCTTCAGGCTCTTATATAGGATGTATTAAGCAAGAGTGAACTGATTTAGCCTTAAGGCCACAAGCTTTGGGGGCTACTTATACACAACATGGAGCACAAGTTTGAAATTAGGTGCTAGTTTTAACTAAGCTCTGATAATTTATCTCTTTAGAAAGAATATATAATATAGCCAATATTATAGTACAGATCTTGAGTATGTGGCTTGACAATTAAAAAATGTATATGAATGAAAGTTATAAAGAAATGTATAAAATAGTTTTTTTGTCTATTTAGGCTGCTAAACTAGCATACCATAAACTTAGTGGCTTATGAACAAGAGAAATTTATTTCTCAAGTTCTGAAGGCTGAAGTCCAAGATTAAGGTACCAGGAGATTTGATTTGTAGTAAGGACCTCCTCCTTGATTCATGCATAGTTATCTTCTGTGTGCTTACATGGAAAAATGAGACCCTCTGTAGTCTCATTCATGAGGACTTCATCCTTTTGACCTAATCACCTAACAAATGACCCACCTCCTAATCCCATATCATTGGGGGTTATGATTTCAACATACAAATTTTGGGGAAAACAAACATTTCCCCTATAGGGGGTGGATTATAAAGTAGAACTAAAAAGCAGAATTGGAATCCTTCACAAAATTACAAATATATTTATGAATCCGAAGAGTGTTCAATATAATTGAGAAAATCAAATTTTGGATGCTTATCCTTGTTTTTTTCATTCTTGTACCTTAAATCTATGCAGTGGAATGAATGAAATATTTTTTAGCAAGAGTGAACTGATTTAGCCTTAAGGTCACAAGCCTGTGGGGCTACTCATACATAACATGGAGCACAAGTTTGAAGTTAGGTGCTGGTTTTAACTAAGCTCTGATGATTTATCTCTTCAAAAAGAATATATATGCATTTTTAGTATTAAAACTTTTTGTTTCATTTTCCATAGATATGAAGCTGTTGTCATCTCAGGAACTGAAATTGCCAAACAAATCCAGAAAGAAATACATCAAGGTGTGGAATCATGGATTGCCCTTGGGCACAGAAGACCTCACCTCAGTATCATTTTAGTGGGAGACAACCCAGCAAGCCATACATATGTCAGGAATAAGATAAAAGCTGCCTCAGCAGTAGGTGGGTATGTGTTTTAATTGGAATTATTGTTTAGTGTTTTTACTTAAAAGTGTGATCATTATAAATGATGATTATCAAATAAGCATCATTTGAATAACATGTATCATTAGAGATTATCCAGTTACCAAAGTTTATGTTAATCTTACTAGTTTTCTTCTGATTTTTTATGGAATGAATTCAACGTGATTTCATATTTTATGGGAGATGTGAGAGGAATACTTAATATTAAAAGGGCCTACATATTCATTACATTTGCTTTAATGAAATAGTAACCTCCCTTACTCTGTTCTAGTTGGCCTAATAGTGTTGGTGGTAGTGGTATTTTTACTCTTGTTAAATATATTAATAGTAGGTTGTATCAAATTAGTGCAAATTGTCACCTGGGATACTAACCAAAGAATGCGTGTGAATCATGAGAAAACATCTGATCTATTTGAGAAATCCTACCCTATGATATGTTGAACACTGTCTTTGTATGAGGGGCTTTCCCTCCAGTGGGATGGGTGCATAGGAAATGAATCACACACTATAGAACCATATTTTGGTTAGGTAAGTGATTTTGCTTATTTTTCTTCCAGGTATCTGTAGTGAGCTCATTCTAAAACCTAAGGATGTTTCTCAGGAAGAACTTTTGGATATAACTGATCAATTGAACATGGACCCAAGAGTCAGTGGTATATTAGTTCAGTTACCGCTTCCAGGTACATAAGGCTCTTCCATATGTCTGGTTTGTCTAGGATAAAGGGTATCTTTCAACATAATATCATAAACCTACAGGTAATTTATGCAATATATTCAGAAGGATACTAACTATTATACTAATGGTGGGGTAATAGGTAACAACTTCTGAATCATTTATGGTGACATTGATGAAAACCTATGAAAGAAAAATTTAGGCATTGGCAATACCCACACTTCTTGCTTTGCACAATAGTGTACAACCATAAAAATGACTGTGTACACTAAAATCAAGCAATATAATCTTAATAATCAATAAGAAACAATAATTTTTCTGTGACTTTAACATTTTTTCTTAAATTCTTACAAACTGTCTTAGTATGGTTTATAAATATAGTGAAATAAAAAGTGAAACTATTTATTCAAAACACTAATTTAACATTAGCAACATTGAGAATTAAAGTTTTTTTTTTTGTTTTGTGTTTGTTTTATAAAGGGTAGTGTATAGTATGAGCTTGGCATGGTGACATAAGTCTGTAATTCCAGTTACTATGGGGATCTAGGTAGGAGGATGGCAAGTTTGAGGACAATTGAGGCAACTTAGTGTCTCAACATAAGAGGGACAGGGATATAGCTTAGTGGTAGAGCACTTGCCTAGCATGTGTGAGACCCTCACTTTGATCTCCAGTACTGGAAAAAACAAAAAAGAGTAGTTTGAAATTTGAAGTGCTTATCCCTCATTACACAACTTATGACGTGGAGCGAACATCTTTTCAATGCTATGGCAAATTGAACTGTCATATTCCTGTCCAAGTTTTGATCAGCTTCCAACATTTTATCCTTTATACTTTCAATGTTATGAAATATTGCTAATAGTTCCTTTAATGTGAAATTTTATGCAGTTATCATTTCCTCTGGGACACCATCATCCTTTTTATCACACTTCCTATGTTTATGTCAATCAGTTCACCTTCACTAAGTTCCTCTGGATGCATAGCCAAATCTCTGCAAAGGATGCAATGTCAGCATTCCATAGTCAATTTACAGTCAATTAGAACTCTGTGAAAGTGGCTTTTCAATATTGTTCTTGCTTTCACTTTATACAGGCCTCTGTCTCTCCTATCTTTGTTTTGCTGTTACCATTTTTCAGATCTACTACCCATTTCACTTTTAGTATTATCATTTTATGAGTGTTCACTGAACTTTCATCTTTATAGGTTAATGCCCTTTGTTAGTTTTCCACTTTGTAAAATGTCATATGGGTTTATCTGTCTGGGAGACATGGTGACAACATACTTTGGTTTCCCATGTTTTAACTGGGTAAAAACAGGAGGAAAAAACATGCAGTATCCATTCTCCAGGGGTCTTTGAAAGAAGTGGTATGATTGGTCAGCGATCATGATGCTGATCTGTTATTTACATAGTAATTATGGACTGAACAACCAGTAGCTGTTATGTAATTACAGTTAATATAGAATGATAGCTGAAATTTGAACTATGTTGTTGTTGAAGGAATGGTATCACTTAACTAAATTGAGGTTCTGAAATTTGTGCATATTTGAATTGTGCAAGTGAGGATTGCTATAATAGAGGTTAGTTTTTACAGTTTCAAGTTATGTAAGTTTTTATCAACAATTTTATGATGGGCAGAAAGTAAAGTTATATGATGTTTTTATATTTTCTTTAATGATATAACTTAATATCTTGGTATACATGATACATTTTATGGTGTTTAAATTATATCAAAATTCATACTTTTAATTATTTTTCTCCAATCTAGTGGCACTTAAAAATAGTAAAATTGGAAAGGATCATAGAATTTATCAAGGTTTCCTTCTGAGAAAAATTCTGATATAGATAATTCTGTATATTCTTCATGTTAATGTAGTGTTATATCACTTCCTTTTAAAACTAGGTGAAGAATTCAACACATGCAGTACTCCCATTTCATATTCTAGATAAATGAGATTTAAAGAAGATTAAAAGTTCATTAACATTATAAATCTTCCCAAAAAGTTTTGTTGGTGTTTGACAGTTGTTTGGCTTATGCAAAAAAAAAAAAAATACTTTTGGCACTGTATTTGCTAAGCAATCATTTTATAGCTTGCAGTTGTTGGAACTTCCTCCACTTGCATTTTTACAATATTTAAATAGTTTTACAAGACATATAACAATACTAACTCTTAAAATGCCCATACTACTCCAAGTGATCTATAGAGTCATTGTAATACCTATCAAACTTTCAGTAGTACATTGCATAAAAATAGATAGTACAATCCTAAAGTTCATTTGAAACTATGAAAGACCCTGAATATCCAAAGCAATTCAGAGCAAAAGGAACAAAGATAGGCCTCATGCTACTTGATCTCAAAATCAACTACAAAGCTATAGTACTCAAATCAGCACAGTACTTGCACAAATAGGTATGCATAGGTCAATAAAACAGAATAGAGATCCCAGGAATAAATTCACATTTAAGGTCAACTATTTTTGACAAGAGCACACATTAGAAAAGGACAGTCTCTTTAAGAAATTAATCAAAGACTTAAATGTAGACCTGAAACTGTAAACTGTAAAGAGAAAAACTTGGGGAGGGGGAAGCTTCTTGACATTCTTCTGGGCTCTGAGTCTTAGATGTGACCCCTAAGCACAGGCAATAAAAGCAAAAATACATGAATGGGATTGTATCAAACTAAAATGCTCATGCACAGAAAAGGAAACAACAGAGAGGAGACAACATATAGAATGGGAAAAATATTTGTAAATCACACACATGATAAGGGGTTAATATAAAAAATGCAAGCAACTCACAAAACTCAATAGCAAGGAAACAAATAACCTGATTAAAAAAATGGACAAAGAAACTGAATAGTCATTTCCAAAAAAACCCATAAAAATAGTTAACATGTATATAAAAAATGCTCAATCACACTAATCATTAGGGGAAAGTAAATTAAAACTGTAATGAGATATTGCCTCCTACCTGTTAGGATGGCTATTATCATGAAAACAAAAGATAGGTGTTGATAAGGATGTGCAGAAAAGGGCACCAGGATGAGGAGAAAAGGAAACTGACCTGAGTTTTTGTTGAGAATGTGAATTGGTACACTCATTATAGGAAACAGTATGGAGGTTCTTCAGAAGTTAAAATAAAATTACCATATGATCCAGGAGTTCCCCTTTTAGGTGTATAACCAAAGGACATGAAATCAGTTTGCCAAGGAGACATCTGTATTCTCATATCCACTGAAGGATTTTTTATAATAGCCAATATATAGAATCAACCTAAATACTTATCAACAGATAAATGGATAAAGAAAATATTGTGTGTATACTATGGAATGATGTTGAGTCACTGAAGAAGAAAATCCTGCCATTTGTAATAACATGAAAGAATATGGAGTACATTATGCTAAGTGAAATAAACCAGGCAAAGAGAGACAATTACTGCATGATCTCATTAAGGTGTAGAATCTAAAACAAGTCAAACCCATAGAAATACAGGGTAGAATGTGGTTACTGTGATGGGGGCTGGAGTGTGTGTGTATGAATGGGTGTATGTGTGTGTGTGTGTGTCTAGATAGGTCAAAGGACACAAAATTTCTGTCATGATGAATAAATTCTGTTGAACAACATGGTGACTATAGTGTTAATAATGTATTGTATACTTAAAAATTACTGAGAAGGTAGATTGTACATGGTCTTACCACACAAAATTATAGATTAGATATTCTAATGAGTTTGACTTGACCAATCTGTAAAATTGTGTACATGTTTGAAAACATAATGGAATGGGAATGTAGCTCAGTTATACAGAGCTTGCATAGCATGAGTAAGCCCTGGGGTCTAATCTCCAGCTCCATCAAAAATATATATATAGTATACCATAATACATATAATTTTTAATCTATCAATTTAAAAAATTTAAAAATCATTTTACAAACTACTACTTGTAATTTCTCAGGTAGTTCTAACTGTATTAGATTTAATTTATCTTAATAAAATCAAAATTTTATCTAGAAATTTTACCCCTTTAAGAGCAACCTTCTTATTTGGGGACTTTGTTATCAATATGCCACTAGATGGCACTGGCTATCCATCTGTACTAGAAAACAAATTGAACTCTGTTCATTTCAGAGTAAGATACAATCAAAGGGACCATAGCAAATTCTAGATGCTCTGTGCAAGGGCCTTTTTCTATCTTGCTGAAAAGTCTCTCTCTATATATATTTACCTGAACACATACACACAAAATAATAGTGATGAATATTAATTGCGTTAAGCATTTATTATGTCAGGCAGTTTACATTTATTAACTCATTGAATCCTCACAATAATCCTGTGGAGTTGAAGTTATGTAAATTTTTCTGATGTGGTATTTCAGGCAAAAAATGATTATATAACTTCCTTCCAGGTTACAGAGCTTCTGAGTAATTAAGCTGGAATTTGAATCCAGGCAGACTGATCTCCCATGCTAATACTTTTAGCCATCTTTGGTGCCCTCACCAGCTTATCAGTATTAACTAGTGAGTAGGATGATTGTTTGAAATGTATGTGCTAATGTTATGACTTATAATGTTCTGAAAGACAGTCTAATGTAACATGTTGTTAAAAGGCAAACTCTAGAAACCCATGGCATGGGTTTGGATCTTGGTTCTACCATTTACTAATAGGTAATATTGAAATATTGGTCAGTTTTTACTTCACCTCTCTGTATCTTACTCTTCCTATCTATAAAATAAAAAAGATAATTCCTACAATAAGGATTTTTTGAGAATTAAATAAAATAATCAATATAAAGAAGTATCTGTTATGTAGTAATAAAAATGGATTCCCAGTTATTTTATTGTAGAAATCTGAGATTCTTTTTCACAATTAGGCCAAAGTCTTGAATAAAATAAATTCCAAACTATAGCTATAATTCTAATGTTGGGAGCACAAGGTTGCATAAGGATTAAATAGAACCTGTAATCAGTTCTCATGTACTTCAGGAGGGTAAAAGCAAAGGAATGAGATAGAATCA